TTTATTGGAAGTATTGTTGTGCGTGTTGCTGTCGGACACATCTCCCTGGTAACGAACAAGTGTGGTTGGATAGTGACAATCAGTTAACGAAAGTAGCGCAGAGTTTAATTATAGTTCAAAACGGCCTTGACCTTCAAAGGATACGAGATCTCATCAATGCTCGCTTGATCAATGCAGAAAATCGTCGTGGTAACAAAATATATCCTAGATTTACGCAAAAAGTTGCTCCATTTTGTTGTGGGTATTCGTGGGTGACAGATCAGGACTTTGTCATCAATAATCACGTGTTCAGTATGCCAAGTTATATCAAAACCTTGGATGAACTACAGGATTACACTTCGGAAATGGCTGGAAAAGGATTACCGCAGGATCATCCGCTGTGGGAAATACAAGTGCTGTTAAATTACGGAGAATCCTTGGATACCGTGTTACTCTTCCGCATGCATCCGTGTATGACAGACGGAATTTCATTGGTCAGAATTCTAGAGCAGGCATTGGTTGATACACACATGATCACACCACATGATCTCAACTTCGCAGGAACGATGAATACGTGTTTACAGTCTTTCAAAGCTTTCTTCCTCGGACCCATAACTTTCCTCCAGAAATATCTCTGTCTTAAAAAAGATTTTAATCTGATACACGGTAGACATATTCATCCGTCGGGTAAAATGGTTGTAGCGTGGTCGGAGCCATTTAGCCTGAGTGCCGCTACCCGGATCAAACAGGTTGCGCGATGTACGCTTAACGAACTCTTCATCTCAGTAGTGGCAGCTAATCTACGTCAGTATATGCAAATTAACGGAATATCAAACCCTTTCAATATGCATTGTGCGGTTCCAACAGACTTCAATACTAACCAATCAAATATCAAGATGGGGAATAAGTACACGTTTGTCATTTTACCCCTTCCAACCAATACCGAAGGTGCTATTCCACGCTTGTGGGAGACTAAAATATCAATGGAGAATTTTAAACTTAGTCCTGAAGCTGCGGTCGTCCGTGGGGCTTTGTGGTTCACTCACGCAATTTTGCCAAAATCTTCTTGCCGAAATTTTTGGAGAAGGATTTATAGAAAGTGCTCTTGTGTCATCAGTAATCTGGTCGGACCAAAAACAGTGTTAAAACTTGCCAATCGGGAAATAAAGTGTATTATATATTGGTTACCTCCCCTGGAAGAGATAGCCGTGTCAATATCGTTTATAACGTACGGAGAACAGATCAGAATGGCCGTCGTCTCTGACCGATCCGTTCTTCCGAATCCAGAACTTCTTACTGCAGATTTTTATCAACAGGTTCGTTATATCTAATTTCTATTTAGTGGAATCATTGATTAAATCGGGTTTTATATCCTACTTTTCTGCCCCATGTAGGCTAATAAAGACGGGCAACGCCATGCAGTGTGCAATGAGGGAAATTTTGTCAAGACATTGATATTAGCCTGTTCTTTTTCATTTCCAACTGTAAAAAGATCTTTAACGTGCACAGCCTGTAACACACGATCTGGGTTTATTGTCCCATCCGAACGACTAGATGCTTTTTCATGTCAGCCTCTGACCTTCATCACTGACAAGGTATTGGACCTTCATGTAGACCAGCACAGCAGCCACCAGCATCATTTTGAGTGATATTAATTATGTTAAATATGAACTGAAACGAAACTAACAATTTATTATTTGCTCCACCTGAACAATTTTTATAAACCCACATGGTAGTGTGAACGTATATCACCCCTGTCCGCCTGTCAGTTTACATTTCTTGTGAACACAATAGAGACTACAGTTTCCATCTGATTTTATTGAAATTTGGTTTGATCATTTATATTGATGAGATCTTAGTCAAGATTGAATTTGACAATTTTTAGATCAACAGTTTTTGAGTTTTTGCCCTTGACTTTGTAAAAACATGTCATTTGTTTGTGAGTACAATAAAGACAATAGTCATCTACATGGTTACTGTGATAAAATTCAAATTTACCCATCTGTGTCACTTTTCAAATGCAAACCAGATGTTTAGTTCATTTACAATTTGATTAAAAGCTTATTCTTATTTTCTAGCTTGAAACCCTGTCTCAGTTACTGGCTAACCGAAGAATACCTGGAGAACAGCTTCATCGTAAAACAGACAATACTCAACTTCTTTCAGCCTTCTCTATTAAAGATCTCTCCATTGATCAGGTAAGTTGGTTCCTCCTGTTAACATCATCGTACGTGACTTCATCATAATAAATATCATCAACCATACATGACTTTTTAGAACAGCAGTATAAAGGTGGGAATAGATGATGTAAGGTGTCTAGTTCGGGATTATCAATACAGTAGAAAATAGTAAAAACGAATCGTGTTAGCACTGTGTTCAGACACTTTACATTGTCTATTTGTGGCTTTAATCTGATTTCTTACAGCTAGGTAGTAGGTTAAATAAAGCAGGATTACATCCCAATTTAAACCCCATGTGTTATCTAATTTTTTTCCTAAACAATCAGCCAATCAAAAAAATTGTGAGAATTTTCTGCCTTATCTGTGGACTTTTTGGAGGAATTAATTGCTAATTAATTGTTTCAATATAATTGACCCCTGCCTAAAAAACACAAACAAAGCTAGAAAAAGTTTTTTGGACTGCTAAATCTATCTGCTTTGAAAATTCAATCTTTTTGTACTGAAATTTTCCTGCTGCCTGAAAATTTCAAGGAACTACAGCATCCTGTTTCTTACAACTAGCAGATCAGATCAGAATAATTCTTTGATTAGTTAGTACCATGGTTCCCATCCTGGGGGGTTTTCGCCCCCTGGGGGTGTGGGACTAGGGTGTCAGGGGTATGGGACTTCTAGGGGCGTGGGACTGTCAGGGGTGTAGCCAACTGGTGTTAGAGAATAATTTATTTTGAATTGGGAGAGCAACTCATATCACCACATGCTGAAAATGTGGATGAAACAAATTTTTGGGGGTTTGAAAGGTCCAGGTGATTGCACCAGCGGTGTGAAGGCTGAAATAGATTGGGAACCACTTGAGTTAGTGTTTATTAATGAATTACTTCCCTTGTTTTATTCTAGATGCAACTACAAATGACTTTACTACAACAAGAAATTCATGATATTAAAACACAACTTGATGCCAGTTCGTCACATCGTATATCTCATAGTGAGGCTCATCTGATGCAGCGTATCGAGCAATTAAAGGAACAGTTCCGGGAGATTATGGTGGAATTAAGACGGAAACGCTCAGAAGAAAATGAGGCGGCAGTCGTTATATCTGATGATGTTTCCTTGGTAACTATTATATAAAGATCTCAATATCACCTTCTCAAAAAAAATAAAAATATCATGCAATACTATCTGTTCAAGGGACAGATTCGCCATTTCCAACAGTTGATTTTTACCGTGAATACGTGTATATGTAAATAGTCTTCAGAAATAGTAGAAATGTACGAAAATCATTCAAAAATATCTCAAACTAGGAATTTCACTTTCTATTTCTATAGATGTCTTTTCTATCTATCTCACCAATTATATGAAAATATTCCTTTGTGTTTTTTTAAAATGTAAAAATATTGAAAGAATACTTTTGCATAAAATGCAGGATTTCAAGGTTTTATTTTCACAAAATAATGGATGGGGAAAAAAATTTGCCACGAGGGACAACTGACTCACTATAATATTAAAGGTATACTACCACTTAGGATGACAAAAAAAAAATGTTACAAGTTTTTTTCAAGAATTATTTAGTTTAATAGATTTATTGTGTTATATAGAGATTCTGTTCTTTAGTCATGGTACCTGGTAAGTCTAACTGATGAATATATACTCTTATTGAGATGTGATGTCCATTCTAAGAGGTAGATTAACTTTAATAGGTTATATTAAATATATCCATTTTTGTTTATACTTCAGGAAGAAGAAATTGACGTTGATCGACCTCAACGACCTTTCAGACGACGAACGTTATCCATGTCGTCTCGGATGTCGACAGCCTCGGTATCATCCACGGTGCGCCCTCTATCAACTACAACATCCAATCAGCCTTCGCCAACTCATTCTCATCTTCCGGTTTGGCCTGAACTAGAGGTAGCGTAGTCGCTTGGAGCTGACGGCAGCGAACATTTCTAGCTCAATTTCTGTATTCATTCCTGTTAATATTTCTTACCACGAAATCCTTATATAAATACACCACCAGATTTCACAGATATCAGAATCTGGTAAAAAAATCCTACATGTTATAATATCTTAATATAATTAAATAATACTACAGGTATGATTACCAGAATCTGAGCTTGTTGTGGATTTATCTGAAGAAAATCTAAAATTTTCTAAGCTGGCACTAAGCTCTCCCCCTTGTCAGTGATGTAGGGTGTAAGTTGTTATGAAATAATATTCTACATCTTGACTGAAAATTGCCCTCTATACTAAAAAAATATTCCAAAAAGACAATATTTCGTTCTACCTTCTCCAGGAATCTTTCAGAATTGAAATTTAGAATTTGTGAATTTCTCCGAACAAGAGGCCTGGAAGATCAAAGATAAAGAAATTGAGCTAGAAATATCATTAGGCTTTTCACATGAAGTAGGAGAAAATATCTTATTTCTTTAAAAAAAAACAGGCTTTCAATTCTATGGCAAGAGAAGTCACCCAAAACATCTACAGATCATGATATAGACCTATTTTGTAAAAGGAGGCAACTAACTTAAAATAGTCCAAATACGTTGGATATTAAATCACCAGTTTCCGATTCTTCTTTTAAATATCAACAAACTTCATGTGGGAAGCCTACTTTATCTTTTTTTGATGTAACCTTTTAACTTTAACCTTTTGACCCCTGCTAGCTGCATAAATTATAACCAATCTGTGTGCTGCTGTAGAGCTGGCTTTCTGTTTGAAAGAATCATGTGAACCGTGACAATGATGTTATGTTTCTATGGTAATCATGAAACATGCTGCTACTCTTACCTTTTTAACAAACCTAAAATTAACAAAATAATATATTGAAAACTTTTTTCCTACAGTGGTATTTCTATGGGGGGCTGGCAGAGGGCATAGGGCAGGGGGCAGGGGGCATTGGACACACAACTAGCTCCTTACCCAGGAATCGGGAATCAAAAGTCTGTAGTCAACTTCTCATAAACTGTTAAAAGATTCACAGAAAAGTTTCTATCCACATACATTCATACTTAAAGGGACGGATGCGTCATTTTGGTGAGTTGATTTGAGTCTTGAATTTATGTAAGTAGTCTTCAGAAGTACTGGAAATGTTCGAAAATCTCAAAATTCCTTCAAATATACTTCAAACTAGGAATTTTACTCACTATTTCTATATATATCTTTTCTATATATCACAGAGTATCTTAAAATAACAAGTCGTCATTTTAACATTTAAACGCGGATAATTATGGATACACATGGATTTGAAGGCTCAAATTTCGACGGTGAACTGTGAACACTATTACTGATTGACTCAGCTAAAAAATTCCAGTTTCTGAGAGTAAAGTATGATTGGTCAAAAATAATAGCGCAACTGTCCCTTTTAATCGAATTATGATTTTAGAAATTTTTTAAAGTAAATTTGAACATCAGCTTCATTAGGGTAGAAATAACTAAATTAGTAGTAAAAGATGACTGAAATACATCATGTAATATGATATTTAATTTCATTAGAAAATTTTCTCAATTGGTCGTGAAATTATCAACTATTATATTTTTATCAAAACAAAGTCATTTTAAGACTAACAGTTCCATTTGAAGTTTATTGTCCAATTCATATGAAAATAATCAGTTAATTTGATTTACCTGTGAATGTATAAAGATAGTAAGAACTGTGAATGTATGAAGATAGTAAGAACTGTGAATGTATGAAGACAGTAAGAACTGTGAATGTATGAAGATAGTAAGAACTGTGAATGTATGAAGACAGTAAGAACTGTGAATGTATGAAGATAGTAAGAACTGTGAATGTATGAAGATAGTAAGAACTGTGAATGTATGAAGATAGTAAGACCTGTGAATGTATGAAGATAGTAAGAACTGTGAATGTATGAAGATAGTAAGAACTGTGAATGTATGAAGATAGTAAGACCTGTGAATGTATGAAGATAGTAAGAACTGTGAATGTATGAAGACAGTAAGAACTGTGAATGTATGAAGATAGTAAGAACTGTGAATGTATGAAGTCAGTAAGACCTGTGAATGTATGAAGATAGTAAGAACTGTGAATGTATGAAGATAGTAAG